AAAATATTGTAAGCATGAATTTCAAAATACACAATTAATATTATTGTAATAGTTAATTGACCTTTAATATTATTGATTCATTATACAATTTATGATTAACTGATGTAAGTTAGCATTCATGCGTGATTTGTATATCAATTTTTTTTTGAATGTATGTGTTTATAAGTATTCAAAATTAATGATATTATAATACGTTTTAAAAACCTATTCTTCATAACATAAAAAAATAACAAGTTTAATTATGATAAAATATTCTTAAGTATGAAAATTTATTCTTAATAAACTAATGTAACTTTTAAAAAAATAATATGATCATGGCTTATTTTAGTTAAATGAGTTTAATGAATTAAATAGGTCTATTATTAAAAAAAAGACTTTAATGACATGTCATGCCAAATAGGAGAGAGTGGGGCTTTTGGAGTGTCAAGTATATTTGGAGGAAAATAGTGATAGATGAGTGATATTTTGGTCCTAAATGAAACATAAATGATATTTCAAGGCAATTCCCTAAACTTGGGTGACCATTTAGGGAATTGACTCTTAACATTAGTTTTATACACTCTACGAAACGACCCTAAATTCATTTTGATACTCCAATTCAATCTTATTTTATTTTAACCTTCAATTTTATTTCCAATGAATTAACCATTTAAACACAAAATGTTGACCGAACATATAAGTGAACTTATTCATCTAAAATTCGTGTGAAGAGATCCTTTTTAACGTTAATAGTCAACATTTTTGTCCTTAAGAACTTTCTCCCCTATTTATTTTCTCTATCTTCTCTTCAACTCTATTTTCTCCTTCATCTACTTATCCATTTGTTTTCTTCATCTACCTTCTTTTCTATTCAACTCTCTTTATGCTATGGTTTGCAGATCTTTTTTCAAAGACATACATGAAAAATATCAAAACTGTTAACTTTTAGAAACTATTTTCCTCCTTCGATAAATAATAAGAAGGTTACCTGGTGTAATCTTTAACCGAAATACCATCAATTCTTCTAGTACATACTCATTTCGACCTTGCTAAACAAAACACTGAATTCTTGATAAATAATGCATTAATCTTGTACTTCCATGATCTGTTTCTCTCAATCAGTAGAATACAAGAAATACCAATAGTATAATAATTTCCTTAAGATTGTTGTTCATCTTGTATTCCTAAGATACTTAGAACAAAACTTTGAAGTATTTGGTAAGAAACAACAACGTTTAAAGAGTATTTTCAAAACTAGAAAATTAAAACTAGTAGAGAAAATAGAATTAGAAACAAGTTAGAAACAATATACAAAAAAAATTTTTGAAAGAAAGAAAATTGAGTCCATTGAATGCACAATGTCCTCTTAAGAAAATTATTCCCCTCAAGTACCCGAGGTTAATGGAATATATCCTCTCAGAATAGAACGATCTTACTCACCGGTGTATCGGTACCTAAAATCACAGTGTCAGCGAACCACTCAACGGCAGTTAAGTACACTTAGAATACTAGATTTAGTAGTAGTAGAAGAAGTCCAGAATATTGGTTCTTTTAAAATGAGAGCAAATCTCTCAATTTATAGAAAATAAAGGATAGTGTGAAAATGTTCTTATTATGCCTTACCGGAAAGGTCACAACCCTTTGAAAAAGTCACAATCTTTCGGAAATGTCACAACCTTTCATAAAAATCACAATTTTTCATAAAAATCACAACTTTAGTCACAACTCTTCATAAAAATCGCAATTTTTCATAAATGTCACAACTCTTCATTTTCCATACACACCTTTTAAAACCCAACAATTATTAATGTGATGATTTATTATTTAAGTAGTTAAGACAAATTTTAGAATATAATTTAATGAATTCATTTACTTATTTGTCGAAAATCTAGGCATATGATCACGGCTTCCCTCCATTTCTCTTTTTTTTTATTCTCTAATTTTTATTCTAAGATTTAATTGATTAGATCAAAATTTTAATTTTAATTTAAATAATTAGTATTTTATAAATAAATTAGTAATGTCACAATTATAGCAATATATTATGCTATTCATAATATATTTTAACATTTCTCTCTCTTATTATATTTTCCCTAAGCAATATTTATCTTCTATTTTTTAAAGAAAAATAATAAGTAATTGATAACTTAGATTTTTTGTTAAGATCATCATAAAATTTCAACCAAATTAACTTAATTCAAAAAATGAAGAAGACAAATACTCATAGGGAAAAAAGAAAAGCTTATTATATATTTATGGACAAGATAATATATTATTATGATTATGACATTATTATTTTATTTATAAAGTATTAATTATCTAAATTATATTAGAGTCTTGATTTAATCAATTAAATTTTAGCTATTAACTTTTTTATATGTCCTGTATTTTTAATTCAATTAAATACTTGGGGAATATGGAGAGGAGCTGGATACACACCTAATGATAGTGTCCAATGGTCGTTATAAAAATTATGGCCAAACACATACATAACCCCTTTAACTTAAAACTAAATTTCATTTTAACACTCTAACTCAATCTTGTTTTATTTTAACTTTTCAATTTTATTTCCAATGTACCATTTAACACACAAAATGTTGACCGAACATATAATTAGTGAACTTATTCATCTAAAATGCGTGAGAAGAGATCCTTTTTAACGTTAATAGTCGACATTTTTATTGTTAAGAACTTTCTTCCCTATTTATTTACTCTATCTTCTCTTCAACTCTATTTTCTCCTTCATCTACTTATCCATTTATTTTCTCATCTACCTTCTTTTCTATTCAACTCTCTTTGTGCTAAAGGTATTATTTTTTCAATTTAAATTTATATAATTCATCTTGTATCAATTACATTTTATGTTATAAAAGACTCCATAAATGGTTAAAATAATAAGTAAATAGCTAGATTGAGGAAATGATATCAAATCAAAATTTAGAATTATAACTATCCAAATGATGTCAAATATTTTGTTAATGCCGTATAAATTTTTTTAAAATGGATATATTCATAATAACATAAACTCGATGTTTATAACTTATGTCACAAATCGATCTCAACAATAAATTTGGTAATAAATTAAATATAAACAATAAGTGTTTTTAGTTATTATTATTTTCTTTGTCGCTGGCTCACTACATTTAATACCGTGAAAAGTATAAATGAGATCGAAAATGAGAAATATGAAAGTCTTAAACCAAATTTTGAAAAAATATATGAAAGTATATAAATTCGGTCAACTTAATTTGAAAAATACACCTATTTTTTTTTAAATCAATAGAATTCGGTTTATTTTTATCGCAAAAAAAAGCTTGAAGAGTATAAATGAGAAATATGAAAGACTTAAACCAATAAGCACCAATGATCTAGTGGTAGAATAATATCTTATTACCACATTAAAGACGGAGATTCACTTTTTTTTATAGTTATGTAATTTAAAACTGATCGAGTTTGATTGGTTTTTCATTTTTTTAAAATCGTGTGTTAAAAAATGATTAATTTTATATATTTAAAAGACCAATCGATTCAGATGAATTTTTGGACCGACAAGCATTTTCCCAAAAACAAGTTTTTGTCAATTTTTTCCTAAAATAATCAGCTATTAATATTTGAATGTGTAGACCTCAAGACTACTCAATCCATTTCATTAATCAAACCCCACCCTTGGCTGCATTGACATAATTGATCCATTCAATTTAATACTTCTATGCTATGTACACATAATTGATCCATTCAATTATTCTCAGTACACAATACACATACTTAAACAAACCGAAAAAAGAGAGGAAGAACTACAGAGGAGGCATTGACATTTATATATATTTCACAACAAAACATCAAAATTCTTCATTGTTTCTATAATCTAATAGCAATTAAATATAGATTTTCCTTTTTCTCCGCGGTTAATCCATGCGTTTCAGTCATATCCAAATCTTCTTTTTTTCTTTACACTAAGGAATGAAAGAAAAAAATAAAATAAGAATAAGAAACTCAAATAATTATAATAAAAGAAGTCAAAAAATAATTTATGTATGAAAAAGATTAAAATATACCTTGAACTTTGCTAGAAGAATCATATATACCCCTAAATAATTTTTAAGAAAATTAAAAGTCAAAAATATAAATTTAAAACTAACTTTTTCACTTCCGTTAAATGAAGGGTATATGTGAGCTCATTTTGTAACGGTAGGGGTATATGTGAGCCGTTTGTATAACGGTAAGGGTATATATGAGCCACTTTCATAACGAGGGGCATATCAGCTCCAAATGACAAAGTTGAGGGATATATCAAGCCCTTTTCCCTTCAATTTAATACATTTAATTATTCTCAGTACACAATACACATACTTAAACAAACCGAAAAGAGAGGAAGAACTACAGAGGAGGCATTGACATTTATATATATTTCACAACAAAACATCAAAATTCTTCATTGTTTCTATAATCTATAGCAATTAAATATAGATTTTCCTTTTTCTCCGCGGTTAATCCATGCGTTTCAGTCATATCCAAATCTTCCGGATTAGTTCCATTAGGAAGTTCCCATTCAAAGTGGTAGAGTAACTGAGCTAAAGGATGTATAACATTAGCAACACCAAGTAACAACCCTGGACACACCCTTCGTCCTGAACCAAATGGAATAAACTCAAAATGATTTCCCATAAAGTCAATAGAAGAGTTTTCAAATCTTTCTGGTATAAAGTTTTCAGGATCATCCCAACTTTCAGGATCTCTTGCTAATGCCCATGCATTGACTAGTACTCGAGCCTTTAGAGGTATGGTGTATCCATCAATAACTCTTTGCTCCCTACATTCCCTAGACCCTAGAAGAGGAGCTGGCGTATGTAGCCTTAATGTTTCCTTAATCACCGACTTTAGGTATGTCAAGTTTTCAACTTCTTCTTCACTAAAATTTTGTTTTCCTTTAAAAACTTGTCTCACTTCACTTTGAGCCTTGATCATAACATTCGGGTTCTTTATCATTTCTGATAATGCCCAAATAATAGTTGAAGATGAAGATCCAGTTCCTCCTAGGAATATGTCCTACATCAACAACAAATAAAATAAATCCTAGAAACGCGAACAAAGATAAAGAAGGAGAACAAACTTACAAAAATCACAGCTTTAATATGGTCATTTGTGATTGGATATTGAAGTTCCGCGTTCTCTTTCACCCTAAGTAAAACATCAACCAAATCTTCGTCACCAAACTCACCATTTCCCTTCTTCCCAGCTGCTTTATTTTCGATATGTTCATTCAGGATCTCCTCCATAACTGCATCAACCTTCTTATGCGCATTCACCATTCTAGTTTTCTCACCTCTTAGGTTGTGAAGTAACTTCCAAGAAGGGTACAAATCAGCCATAAAAAATCCTGCTGCTAATAACAGTACTTCCTTCAAAGTTGTTAAGAACTCGCCTCGATCTTTGCATACTTTTCCAAAGGCTGATCTACAAATGATACAATTAGTAAACAGAAAAATCTTTTTTGTCATGTTTACTGGAGAACCCCTCATGGAACGAATTGATGAAATGAGACTCGTAAGCTCATCCTCTCGAATTGCACTAAATAACTTGATCATCTTTATACTAAAAAGTTCTAAAGTACAAATTTTACGCATTTGTCTCCAGTAATCACCATATGGACTGAATGCAATGTCTATACTATTGTAAAATATGATGTTTGTGGATGTAAGTTGTGGTCTACAAGCAAAGGCGTGATCATGAGTTCTTAGAATTTCTTTGGCGATAGTAGTTGATGATATGACCACGGTAGGAACTTCCCCGAGTTGCAAGTACATAAGAGGCCCATACCTTTGAGATAATTTTCTAAAAATATGATGTGGCAACCCTCCTCCGATTAAGTGATGAAGATTTCCAATGAGGGGAAGTCTCCATGGACCTGGAGGCAACCTAAATTGTTTTTCGTTTCGATTTTTTGGTTTGCTCCATTTTTTAACTATAAGTATGAGGGAGGACAAAAAGAGAAGCAATAAAACTAAATTGGAAAGAAAAGAGTTAAACATCTCCATTGAAAAGTAAGGAAAGAGAAAGAAGCTTATAATATTACATTTGATCTACTATAGCTGCTTTTATAATGACTCAATAATTATTCAAATGACCTTATAAATAAATGACAAAAAATTGGCCAAAATAGTACTTAAGGTATATAAAACGATAAGTAATTATTATGAGGAAAATGTTTCATTTCAAAAGAATTATTAACTTTTGATCATTTACTAACGCAAGACGGCAAGAGTTTCCCATCTCCTGACAACTCATTTTCCAAATGTCATATTGTGCTTATTTAATTCATGAGTTTGTCTATGTTATTTTATTTCTCCACTAATAACTTGACGATTCATGTATCCTCTAATTAAATAGGGAAGACTTGTTTAATTTTGGGGAAACATTTCACACCGTTAAAATAATTTCTTAGGACAATGCCCAATACAGTTCAAGTATTAATATTTTATACTATTATTTATATATTATGATAGTAATATTTATCTAAATTTGAGTTTTATTATTTTGCTAAATACTAAGTTATATTATTATTAATGATTTTTTCATTATTTCCCAATAATTATTTTGGCCCTAAGTCCTAAAACTAATTATTAAAGTAAAAAAAATGTTTTGTTAAATTTAATTGCGGATCTCTTAAAATTGACACATCATTTTCCCCTAAATCTTCTTTCTTTCATCATTAGTAGAGGTCAAGCTCCATCCTCAATCACGTGACCAATGAAGATTGTGGTGGAGTGGTAAGTAGTACTCCTTCATCCTTAATCAAAGGTCTCAAGTTCGAGTCCTTTTAGATACGGAGTTACCTTTGTTAGAGAGCGCGCTTTACCTCTAATATAAAACTTCCTAACGCGAATCCAAATTTAATTTAAACTAAGCAAATCAAATCAAATCAAATGGCAAAACTGAACGGACAAAGGTGGACAGTAGAATCTAAAAAAATCTTTCGAAATTTGAAGAGATTTTTGTGTCAAAAGAAGGTTTGGCATGGGTAATGGAAATAATTAGAATAAAGTACCAAACAATTGGAAATTGATTGGTTGAGGGAGAAGGGGGATCACTCAGATAAGGATTTATCCAGATAAGGACATTGATGAAGACCACAGAAGAGGTTTGGGCGTGTTTGGTATCTAGGAGAAAATGTTTTTCAATTTTCCTATATATATTTTTAATTGGTAAAAATGTTTAAAAAATTAATAAAAAAATATTTATCAAATATTAGAAATTAATAAATAATAAAATTATTTATTTTTAAGATATCATTTTTTGTGGAAAATAGTATCAAACACACGGGAGACTCAATGATTAGTGGATTTGATATTGTTCTTCATGATGACTCTAAACCCATAGATTATAATAATTGTATGTATATATATAATATATATAATACAAACAAATCAACATTCGTCAAAATACTGATAAATTATGAAAAAATATCTCCATATATATCATTAGTGGAATAGCTGACAAATCCACTCATAAATAATTTGAAGTGTATCTCATGAAATTTTTAAAGACAACAACGTTTATTAGTTAGAAAATTTATCATTTAAGTAGTTAATTCAAATTATAGAATGTAATGAATTTACTTATTTGTCGAATTCTGGGCATGTGAAATGACGCCAAATAGTCTTATCACCTTTTACATTACACCTAATAATGCAATTAAAAAAATCTATTGTGCAGTTGTTGCTCACTACTGATAGCTACATATGGGATATTAAATAACAAATACACTATTCTTGAATATGACATGTACAATCATACAATAGATAATTAATTGTGTAGTTGTTGTAAACTAGTGAGTAGTATGATACTGTCTGTTTGGAGGTGAGGTATGCGGGTATTAAATACTACATAAGTAAATATCATGTTTGGTAGTTAATTAGTCCGATGGATTGAAGCAATCGTAAAACCAACAAATGCATAATCTTAATATTCAAATGGATACACATACATAATTAAACCAAAGCAAAAAAAAAATAAAATACAGAATTATTCTTCATCGTTTTTATGATCTACAACAATTAAATACAGGTCTTTTACCCTTGCCGCACTTAATCCATGTGTTTCCGTCATATCCAAATCATTTGGATTAGTTCCATTTGGCAGTTTCCAGTCAAAGTGGTAGAGTAACTGAGCCAAAGGAAGTCCAATATTAGCTAAACCAAATATCATTCCGGGACAAATTCTTCTTCCGGCACCAAATGGAATAAACTCAAAGTGATTTCCTATATAATCAACAGAAGAATTCTCAAATCTCTCTGGTATAAAATTATCAGGATCATGCCAACTTTCGGGATCTCTCCCTATTGCCCATCCATTGACTATTATTCTAGTGCTAATTGGTATGGTATATCCATCAATATCAGTTTGTTCCCTGCATTCCCTAGGTGCTAGAAGAGGAACTGGAGCATGAAGCCTTAATGTCTCCTTAATCACTAAATTTAAATATGTCAACTTTTCAATATCTTTTTCATCATAACTTTTCTTTCCCTTAAAAACTCGTCTCACTTCACTTTGGGCCTTCGCCATGATATGTGGGTTCTTCATTAGCTCTGTAAACGCCCAAACAAGAACTGTAAATGAAGTTTCAGTTCCAGCCAGAAAGATGTCCTGCATCAACAAACAAATCAAACTTAGGAAATTGATCAATTGAAGTTCCGTGTTCTCTTCAGGAAAGGGAGATCTAAAACTTACAAAAATCACAGCTTTAATATTGTCATTTGTGATTGGAAATTGAAGTTCCGCGTTCTCTTTTACCCTTAGGAAAACATCAACCAAATCTTCGTCTCCAAACTCACCATTTACCTTCTTTCCAGCTGCTTTATTTTCGATATGCTCATTCAGGATCTCCTCCAAAATTACATCAACTTTTTTATGCGCGTTCACCATTCTAGTTTTCTCACCTGTTATGTTGTGAAGTAACTTACATGAAGGGAACAAGTCAGCCAAAAAAAATCCTGCTCCTAATAGGAGTACTTCTTTCATAATTGTTATGAACTCGTCTCGATCTTTGCATATTTTTCCAAAGGCGGATCTACAAGTTATACAGTTGCTAAGCAGAAAAATCTTTTCAGTCATGTTGATCGTAGAACCACTCATGGAACGAAGTGATGAAATGAGACTCGAAAGTTCATCCTGTCGAATTGCACCAAATGACTTGACCATCTTCGTACTAAGAAGTTCTAAAATACAAATTTTACGCATTTGTCTCCAGTAGTCACCATATTGACTGAATGCAATATCTTTATTGTTGTAAAATATGATGTTTGTGGATGTAAGTTGTGGCCTATTAGCAAAGGCGAGATCATGAGTTTTTAGAACTTGTTTTGCCATAGTAGGTGATGATATGACCACGGTAGGAACTTCCCCAAGTTGCAAGTACATAATAGGTCCATATCTTTGCGATAAATTTCTAAGAACGCGATGTGGAAGTCCTCCTCCGATTAAGTGATGCAGACTTCCAATGAAGGGAAGTTTCCATGGACCTGGAGGCAACTTATTTTGTTTTTATTTCTCCATTGTCTAATTACAATTAAAAGAGAGGACAAGAAGAAGAAGCAATGAAGCTAAGGAGTAATTAATCTCCATTGAACAGGAATTATGGATTGTTAATGAAAAGGAAGTTTGGCTTAATCACGTAAACAATTGTATTACAAACATATTTTATGGCACGTCTTATATAAAGATGATAATTAGGAGAAACCTAAGGCCTCCTTTGTTTGAATTTTGTATTTATTAGTAGTTTTGAGAAAACAAACAGGCTGAATTATTTACACTATATTTGGATCATTGTTACCCATTGTTTCATAATGTACAATATGGTAGATATAATGTTTGTCTAGACTGTATTGTTTGTTGTTGTTTAATAACATTTTTATTGTTTAATTTGATTGTATCATACTATATAGTAATTAATAAATTTACTAAAATATCCTTAATTATTCTAGGGTGGGAGGTTTGACGAGGATTAAATAACATAGAGTAAATAGTAAGATAGTATTATGCAAAATTAAGTAAAAATATAATTAGAAAAGAAATTAAGTAACAATGGGAACACACCAAATTGGTTGTTCCATAAAATGGGGGTTTTCATTGTTACGTAACAACGAAATTTAATAATACAATACAATACATTTTAATTAACAATCAAAACAAACATTGTATGTATGATAACAATACAATACAATGGGTAACAATTATAAACAAGGTGTTAGTATTTAGATTTTCATATTTAAATATGTATTGAGATTCAAAAATTTAAATTTTAATGCACATTATAATATTCAAATATATATTCAGATTCAATGGTCTTTTATCTTAATGAAGTAATATTGAAGAAACTGAGTCATGTTAAGAACTTGAGCATTGAATTGAAGTTGGTTTATCTGAAGTTAATTATTCTGAAAATATGTCTGATAAATACACCTAAAAAAATGGGGGAATAGTTTGTCTATCCTAGTCCTAGCTAAGGGTGAACATGGTATAATATGGAGTCCGGAATCAAAATGGCAACAAATTTTTTCAAAAATTTCTAAAGGGCAACTCAATTAATTATGAAATCAAAAGGGCAAAAATTTGTAACGGCGTTTAAATCAGGTTTTCTAAAATGAGGAGCGAAATCCTATGAGCCTTACAAGGCGCAACAACCTTTTAGCCTTGTAAGGCTCAACCGCCCATGAGCCTATAAGAGGCTTCATAAGTTGGGATTTGTCCATTAGCATGAGGTTAAGTTTGTGTCCTTTCAACTTCAAGGTGAGGGTAAGCAGTAGTGGAGATCTTATATGGAATGCATATCTTCTACTTTACCTCTACTTAGTTGGACCCAATTTCATGCTCTATTTCGAGAAATATGTGCCTAGGACTTTGAGGGATCGCAAGAATGATGAGTTCATGGCTTTAGAGCAATGTGGTATGACTGTGGCTGCTTATGAGGCCAAGTTTCATATTTTGTCTAGATATGCTACTCAATTGGTGACTACTGAGAAAGAAAGAATCGGTTATTTATTAGGGGACTAAATTCTGAGTTGCAAGTGTTATCTGTTCATATGACTTCTGCAGGGAGGAGCTTCAATGAGGTAACAGACTATGTTAAGAAAGTGGAGTGGGTGAGGCAAGATGGTCAGGCTAAGGCATTGGCAAAAGGGCCAAGAACTCGAGTAACTTTCAAGGTTCTTACTCCAGGGGGTCCGGAAGGCCAACGCTTGCAGCCAAGCCAATTCAGTCTGTTATGCCCGCCTCTACAGGTAACTACTTAAGAACTCAATCTCATAATTTGATTCAGGATAGCCAGGGAGTCGCACCTTCAGCGGGCAGCAGGCTATCCTTTGATCGTATATGTTACAACTGTGAAGAGCCTGGGCATATGAGGAGAGTTTGTCCCTACCCACGCGTGTTAGATTCCGCACAACAGCAGTCTAAAGCAGTGGTACCCGCGGGGAATGGTAATAATGATAAAGGACACCCACAAAGTGGGCGAGGAGGTAATCAGTGAGGCCGTGTAGGTAGAGAAAATGGTAATGCAGGCAGAGGTAACGTGCAACCAGGTAGAGAAGTGGCTCATCAAGATGATAAGGCTCAGTTCTATCTCTTTTCGGGCAAGAAAGTGGCAGAGGCGTCTGACGCGGTGATCACATGTACTATTCTTGTCTATGACCGGATGGCTAATGTGATATTTAATCCAGGTTCTACTTATTCGTATGTATCCGTGAGATTTGCCTCAAAGTTTGATATGATTTGTGATATGCTTGATGCCCATATCCATGTTTCTAGCCCATTTGAAGAGTCACTCATAATCACCCATGTCTATCATGCTTGTCCTATTTTGTTTATGGGTTTTTAGACTTGGACTGATTTGGTGATTTTGGATATGACTGCTTTTGATATAATCTTAGGATGACTTGGTTGTCCCCCTATTATGTTGTGCTTAATTGTCCTACTAAGTCTGTAACTCTAGAAATTTTGGGAAGGGAAAAATTAGAGTGGAAAGGGGTGTACAAGCCTAAGCAAGATAAGATCATATCCTCCATTCGGGCTAGGAAATTGGTAGAGCAGGATTGTTTGGCTTATTTGGCTCATGTTAGGGATGTGGAGGTTGAGATTCCATCTATTGAGTCTATTCTTGTGGTGTCAGAATTTAGAGAAGTGTTTCCTAATGAGTTGCCTAGTATGCCTCCGGATAGAGATATAGATTTCTACATTGATTTAGATCCCAGTACGCGCCCCATTTCTATCCCTCCATATTGCATGGCTCCAACAAAATTGAGAGAGCTTAAGGCTCAAATCCAAGAGCTTCTTGATAAAAGATTTATTCGTCCTAGTGCTTCCCCTTGGGGATCCCCAGTGTTGTTTGTTAAGAAAAAAGATGGTAGTATGAGAATGTGTATAGATTACAGGCAATTGAATATGGTCACTATTCGAAACAAGTACCCTTTGCCTCGAATAGATGATCTTTTTGACCAATTGCAAGGTGCATCAGTTTTCTCTAAGATTGATCTAAGGTCTGGCTACCATCAGTTGAAAATTAGGCATGAGGATGTGCCCAAGACGGCGTTTAGAACCCGCTATAGGCACAATGAGTTTTTGGTTATGTCTTTTGGTTGAACTAATGCGCCTGCAGCTTTTATGAGTTTAGTGAATGGGGTGTTCAAGCCATTTCTTGATTCTTTTAGCATAGTCTTTATTGATGATATTTAGGTCTATTCGAAAAGTGAGGAAGAGAATGCCGACCATCTTCGTATTGCTTTGGGTATTCTTGGGAAACAAAAATTATATGTGAAATTTTCTAAGTGTGAATTTTGGTTGACTTCTGTGGCATATTTGGGACATGTAGTTTTAAAATAAGGGGTAATGGTAGATCCTTAAAAGATTGAGGCGGTTAAGAATTGGGTTCGACAAAGTTCTGTGACTGAAGTTAGGAGTTTTGTGGGGCTCGCTAGCTATTATCGTCGATTTGTGAAGAACTTTGCTTCTATTGCCACCCACTTGACTAATTTGACCAAAAAGAAGATACCATTTGAATGGACAGAAAAATGTGAGGAGAGCTTTCAAAAGCTCAAGACTCTTTTGACCATTGCACCTATCCTAGCATTACTGGTAGAAGGTAAATATTTTATTGTTTATTGTGATGCTTCACATTCTGGTTTGGGTGCTGTCTTGATGCAGGATAAGAATGTTATAGCTTATGCATCGCGTCAATTGGCAGCGGTAGTGTTTGCTCTTAAAATCTGGTGACATTATCTGTATGGTGTCAAGTGTGAAGTGTTTACTGATCATCGTAATTTGCAGCATGTGTTCACTCAAAAGGATTTGAATTTGAGACAGCAAAAGTGGATGGAGTTACTTAAAGATTATGATGTCTCCATTCAATGCCATCCGGAAAAGGCTAATGTGGTGGCAGACGCTTTGAGTCGAAAAGCGGTGAGTATGGGTAGTTTAGCTTGCTTAAGTGTAACCAAGCGGCCTTTGGCTAAGGAAATTCAGACCTTGGAGTCTAAATTCATACAATTGGGCATCTGAGAAAAAGGTGGGGTATTAGCTAGTATTGAAGTGAGGGTCACGTTCATTGAGGAGATCAAGGCCAAACAATTTGAAGATGAGAATTTGGAGGAGCTTAGAAAGAAGACTGTGATCAGTAAGGCATAAGAGACCAATCTTGATTCGGAAGGCGTACTTAGTTTCAAAGGAAGAATTTGGGTTCCCCGAGTTGATGATTTGATTCAAAAGTTATTGATAAAGTCTCATGGGTCGCGATATTCTATTCATCTGGGTGTGACCAAGATGTATCGAGATTTGAAGCGAATTTATTGGTGGCCAGGCATGAAGAAGGATATATCGGAGTTTGTGGCTAAATGTCAGAATTGTCAACAAATGAAGTATGAACATTAAAGACCTGCAGGTTTGCTTCAACGAATGCCAATTCCAGAATGGGAGTGGGAAAGGATAGCCATGGATTTTGTGGTTGGTCTTCCCAACACTTTGGGAAAGTTTGATTCTATTTGGGTAGTGGTTGATAGATTGACTAAGTCCGCCCATTTTATTCCGATAAGAATATATTATAATGCCGAACAATTGGCTAAGGTGTATATGAAAGAGATAGTGAGGTTGCATGGGGTGCCCCTTTCCAGCATCTCAGACCGTGGTACCCAATTCACATCCAAGTTTTAGAGGAAGTTACATGATGAATTGGGCACACAACTCACTCTTAGTACAACCTTCCATCCACAGAGAGATAGGTAATCAAAGAGGACTATTCAAGTGTTAGAAGACATGTTGAGGGAATGTGTAATTGATTTTGGAGGGCATTGGGATAAGTTCTTACCTTTGTGTGAATTCTCTTATAATAATAGCTATCACTCCGACATAAATATGGCACCATTTGAGGCACTTTATGGGAGAGGATGTAGATCACCCATAGGTTGGTTCGAGGTTGGAGATGTGAAACATTTAGAGGTTGATTTAGTAAAGGATGCTCAAGATAAGGTGATGAGTATTCAAGCTAAGCTTTTAGT